ATTGTAGGTAGCGTAACGGCTTTGTGGCTCGAACTGGACAATGCTTTTATCACCACATTTTCGCCTAAACCCTGTATTATATGGAATGGCGCGGGGAGGCAGCTACAATATTTCAAGGGAAGAGGATTATATTTTATTTATTTATACCTATTTCAGTTGAAAAATAGGTAAGTGAACAATTTTATAGAAAACATGGGTAAGTAATCATTTCTTATATTAAAATTGAGTTAAAATTATGACAAAATTATGCACTTAATTCTTCTATCACTTTGATAATATAAGTACTATGTTCAAAATCTATTTGATCGCTTACAAAAAATCAGGAAATATTTAATTCAAACTTGATAACTTATTTATTGGAGAAATTAATTTCAACTGAACTCTTTGTCCTCCCTTCCCTTACTGATGAGCACAGAGGGAGGAGACTTTACTTGTTTAGTCTCCGTCTAAGGGTCACGTGCGAAACGGAGACTAAACGACTTCTTTGCTCACCACCCCTTCAAATAAATATGAAAAAATTGAAGAATAATGTTAAATTTCGGTTTAAACATCGTAATCAAGATAATAATAAATAGATTAGTTTGATTCAACTTGTTTTATTATAAGCATAATAAGTTTATAAGTTATAAGCATAATAAGTTTAAGAGCGTACGTGCGTCTCTTAGCGATTACGCCAATCAGGAGACGTTACGGTGTGTCTTATTTCTTACTGACTGGCGCTTTAGTGCAGAAGCGGGATTCCCGCACGAACGGTGGAACCCTGGGTGAGTTCAAAATTCGTTTTGCTTATGTTTCTCGGTGGGACTCCCGACGGAAAGTCGGAACCGCTAGAGGAGATCAGGCGCTTCGATTAGATCGTGAATTTCAACCTTGAACCGCGTTTAGGCCTCAGAAGACGACGATTTTGTCGAAACGTTAGGCCGATTGAATAAATGTTCCACCTATCAACCTCGAACGGCAGAAGAAACAAACACAAATAAATTTATTGTACTTCCGTTATATCTGGTAGAGTCATGAGTAGGTGCCAATTTCTTCACACCCGCGCTATCTTTCCCGAAAAATTTTTGTATGCTTTCCGAAGAGTATCTGGCGACCTTTGTGTGCTTTCATATCGCATAATTCAACCGTCACTACTCGTCTCTGAGAAGAAATTATGCAGTGAAATTCAACTTGTTTTGTCACTTTCGACATTGCGAGTGCCAACCGAGGCACTTGACCCTTCCGGACGTGGCGGTAGAAATTGCTACCATCAAATTCAGTCGTCTGCACTACCGGCGTAAAGCTTTTTCACTTACTACCGCTCACACTGCTCCCAGCAACCTGCTAGGTAAGTGTCAATTATTTCCAAAACACTTGCAATACATTCATAACACTGAAGTACAATGTTGTATAGGACCATGAACCTTTACGACATGAATTCGGAAATGTTTTGACATAGGCGTAAAAAAATAGGGAGCTGTGGCAATTTTCACAGGTTCCTTGTTCCTCACTTTATGGGAAAAGATTCCAGTTTCTATAGTGTTACTAATGTGCTTATAAAAAGTAACCGATGGCAAGGATAATTTTTTTCTGACGGAAAAGAACTTCAGGGCTGAAAGGGTTGAAAAACAACATTTGTCGAATGTGGTTTGAGTAGTTTCGCCAATCCGACTACAACCTAAGACCAACCACGTTCCGGACAACATTTGACCTTAGATACTGAGCGCATTCAAGAGCTTCCTAAAGACAACTTTACGCCAGTACCCGCCAAACTGCAAAGGAAATCCAGTGCTCTAAGAGCACCGTGAACCGTGCCTACCGAGTTATGGGGATTTGAAGATTAGAAAATGGAATCCACGGGAGTTGTGCGAGATTACGTGGAAGACACGTGTGGACATTTGCCAGAATTTGCTGTCCACAAGTCGTAGTTTCGATTGACAAATGGTCTAGCGTTGAGAAATGCGCACTTCCTTCAGCTACATGCGGAGACATCAGTGGGAACATGCAGCTTAGCAGCGACGACGAGCTTCAGCAGAGACCTTCACCCGGACTAGTTTCCTTTCTCCAGTAATTGGTTTGCTCGTTATAGACTTCAATGGACATCACTAGTGCCTGCACAGGCAACCATTGCTTGCCGCTGCGTGGACCTGCTTTGATATCGTAAATTTGTGGCTTCCGGTAGACAAATAAGTTTGGCTCCATGATTCTTCCCCGATCTTCATAATCCGCTAAGGTGGTTCTAGTTGAATTTGTGAATTTTTGAAATCCGATGTCAATTCGGCAATTACTTTTGGCTCAATCGGTTTTTTTCCTAGTTTTTTTTTACCAATTCAATCCTCACAACTCCCGATCAGTATAGGAATAGATATTTAATTTTTTCCACACTTGGAAATTTTTTCGTTTCTGCTTCCAAAGTATGAATCCCAGATGAAAAACAGATCTGACAGGAGAACCTTGATACAGTGTGATATGTGGACACCCTGGAATCGATTCTCAGGGGTCAGCTGAAGATTTTGTGAATGAAACCTTCACCATTCAACTCCTAGTGGTCGATAACCTACAATGATATTTTCGGCAAAAGATTTCGTTCTAACTTAGCGAACTATTTTTCATGGAAAGTTTTTTCTTTGTATCAAAATTATGTGGACACCCTGAGGCAGATGAAGTTTTTGCATCGATTTCCTAACCTATTTTTACTTCTCCTTTCGTTACTTATTCTGGCATCATTCCTCTTCACGGCAAGCGTTTTTCTGAAGAAGACCAAGCACAGATATGGGATCCTCATGCTTCTGAACCTTCCAATTGCGAAATTGCACGTCAACTGGTCGTGCGTCTTCGTATGTTGGAAAGAGAACCAGAATCCTGATGCTGAAGCTCTCGACACTGACTAAGAGTCGTCCACGGTCGTTATATCCTCAGAATAACACAAGAATAGCTCGTGATGTGTCAAAATTTCTTTTATCTGCTATTCACGTTCGCGTTCAAATGACCTTCCCGGTCTCAAAAATGACCAATTAGCAATCCATTCGATCGAATGAGCGCATGGTACAATAAAAAATAAGAAAGCTCCGTGTATGAAGGCCTAGCACAAGTTGGCAAGGTTGGAATTTCTACTCAAAAACTGTATCACAACATGATACATCGAACGCCAACAGACAGCGCTTTCGTGGAAATGGTAAAATTAGAATAAAAGACTTCCTGTGGAAATTTCTTTACTGGCGGACTGGAGCTCTACTGGCGGAATGCAGCTCATCTCTGGCTATTTGAGTGGATCTTGTTGTCTTGGGAGATACCGACTATGTCGTGAACCGCAGATGTATGTACTCGAAGAGACAATTCGGAAATGTTCATCAAAGGTCTGGGGTGGTTCCAAAAGGAGGGGAAAATTGGAGTTTGGCTTGCCAACATGTCAGGTAGACAACTAGGATTATAATGAGGTGCTTGAGTCCCGGCTGCAACTTTTTTCGAAAAGTCATGTCGCAAACACTTGTTTTGCAGCGAGCTCGAGGGAGGTCCCTGACACCATTCCATTTGGAAAAATGCTAAACGCAACGGCTTTGATTGGCAAGTCGGCTAGCGTATTCCTCAGACTTCATCCTTATTGAAAACGTAGAGGTATCGTGGTTCGCGGTCTCTACGTCATTGAACAAAAGAGTAATATCACAAGTGACCTAACACGTCGGTGAAATTTGCTAGTTGGGAACAGATCTGCAAGACATGTATCCAGACCCCATTCATAGCATGCCAAACAGAATGGCTCAACTTACTAGAAGCTTTGGTAGGCCTACCGATTTCAGATTCTGAAGATATTGCCGTTTTTCAAAAAGTGTCCACATACTTTTGATCAAGGGAGACAGTGATACAAGGTTTTCCATCAATTGGAAAAACTGAAGCTGCATGTAAATCGGTGTGAAATGGGAAGTTCTAAGATTTTCGCTTTCGAGATGAATGGTGGCGGTCGCATTGTGCAGAAGCCAACAGTTTTTTAACACATTCACGCCGATGGCCGCCCATATGGGCTGCCAACAACATGCGCTCCTGGGACGATGAATGATAATCGCTTGCCAGGCGCTAGGAATGGACAGATAGGTGGGCAAACCTCGTAATCGAGTGTAAAATGCTTTTAAATTCCTTCACGGGGAAAGTGAATAAATGCTCTCTTTTCGTAACCACTATTTGTCGTTCTGATCGAAATCCTACTGTTATATGTTTAGATAATCTTTACGCATTGGACATTGCAGAAATTATTTTGTGACATTCATGTTTTTGTTCATTTACAAAACAAAATCTGCGGTTATGTGGTGAGGCGGCGGCGCCCACAAAATCGCGTCCGTCCCACGCGACCGAAAAGTGGAAAAGGGGCGTCGTCGTGAATGTGTTAAATAAAGTATGAAAATTATTAAGGTGTCCACATACTTTTGGTACGCACTGTATTCAAAGTGTAGAGCCTGCTTGAAGGCAACAGTGGAGCAGCGTTGCGGTGCTCGCGCGATATGTGCGTCTTTTACGTCCCATGAATGGAGCACTGGACTTTTACGGAAGTGCAAAAGGCTACTGGCAAGCTTGAAGCTCTAAACTTTCAATTTCGTGACCTCGAAATGTTCAACACTCGCACACACTTTAGTGCTGAAAATCGGTTACCTTGCTCATATAACTTCTCACAAACAGCAGACAAAGGAAAAATAGTATTGTCGATATGCCGCATTGGAGAATCGGAAAGCCGATCTCGGAAAGTGATCTGAAAAAGACATTCTTCTGCAACAAGATGACTACCTCCAACTTGTTGTTATACTCAAGAGAAGGGTGATAAGACATCTGTATTGAGCGCATATGAAAGAGCTTCTAAGGGAAAAATTTCAGAACGCTGTGGCGAGCACCTTCTGAATGAGGTGGTCGTGCTCACGCTGGCTAGGCGGAAGACTCGAGGTATTGCACACGAACGGTTCTGAATGGAGGTCCAAGTGCTACTGATGGATCTCTACTCCGTTATTTTGTGGAGGCGAGTTTGAAAAGAAGTGAACTTATTTTGCAACTCTTCTGGCAGGTGTAGAGCCCGGTTCCTCTACACCTGCTCTGAAATAGTGAAAGGTGATGTGGGCTGGAAAGTCGACACTGAGTCCAATTGACATAATTGTTGTCGACATTGAAATTGGATCCAGATCAATACTCCAAAGCGAGAGTAGACCAAAAACTCCTGCAAAATCTAACTGAAGCCAACGTAGGGCGAGTGTGAACAATAATGCTTCAACATAACAATTAGTGAAGTAACAGCTCTTCTATGACGATTTTAATATTTGTAGCTAATGAGCAAGTAGCTCACTTATTACCATTACCGGTGACAAATTAAGATTTTTCACCTGTACAAATTGATATGATGGACATTGTGGCAATCACGACGGTGAATAGATTGTACATGAACAGGAAGCATACGATCATCATGCAAAATAATGTACAGATCGACGTTGAAATAGTTGCTGGTAGCATTGAATCGAACTGCAATTGAAAAGAGCGATTCTAATGCTGTGATGCTTCTGCCCTGCACATGTGCTCAATATGAGCTGCGATTTCGGTTCTCAAATCTAAGAAAGAAAGGGGCTACACCTGAATTTAAAATTTGCGCTGAACCCCTATGCAGAAATCACCTAACAGAAAACAAGCGATAGTCTCGCCCAAAAGGAGGTATGGCTGGTTGCTGTAGAGCTGCTATGAGGCCGTCATCTCAATGCCTAGCCATTCGTAACAGAATGCAACTTTCAATTCAGAACTTAGTCCTGGGAAGAAGCGATGGGTAGGTGCAGAAATCCAAAAACATAAAAATACTAGGTCGCCGGAAAAGTCTTTGCGCATTTGGCAACTTTTTTTTCAAAATTGTTTTTCTTCTTTAGTGCAGCCAACAATTGTTGAATACATACACCACCATAATCGTCGAAATATTGCTCTTCAGCAGGCAACTTCGGGCAGGGTGAAAATCGTGTCGAGGAAATAACCGCCTCTTTACGACCCCCCTCCGAAACATGAACTCTGATACGACCCCTTTTTGTCCTCTGCACATCCGGTTTCATATCAAAAAATGCTAGTTTCAGATGTGCGAGAGGGACGCAGCGCCACTGCCACGCAAATGCGGCTTGATCCAAATGCTAGATTCAATTATGCTCAGATTAGGTTCTCCTCTGCGCTGACAGGTGCGCGGGTTCGTAGGATTTAAAAAATTGCGTGAGAAGGTTATCAAGGATTTGGAGAGGACGCAGCGCGCGGCGAGGGGTGGGCGCCACGCAACCATGCGGCTTGCACCTAAATGGTCTGCTTCAATTATCGCTCAGCATTAGGTCATCCCTTCCTTCTCCTTTCAAAGACGGTAGACGCTGTGTGCCACGAGTTGGCGGAAAGTACGAACAGGTCGAGAGAGTATCTGCGACTGGCCTATCACGGAGGTCTTGAGACCAGGGTGGGTGCTTGCTGGCCGGGCAGGGCTGTCAGCGTAGTATCGGCTCGGCGTATAATTAGAACGGCCCGATTCGACGAGTTGCGCGCTGTGCTAGAGCGCGCTAGTTGGAAAAATCGTCAAATGTGTACCCCCTATTTAAAGGACTATAACTTTCTTCATTGATAACCATTTCAGAAAGTGAAGGCAGCTTTTGAATGCACAAGACTTCTAGTTTCTAAATTGTGCTGAGCGTTTTTCTAAGCACGCCTATTCTCGAGAGTGGGAGACGTCGAGAAATTGTCGAGGAAATTGAAATTTACATGCGAGTTCCCACTCTTTGGAAGACAGTAGCTGTCTTCATTGGCAATGCTTTGAAAATCGGAGGAAAGCGTTGTAAAGTAGAAGATTTACGCTTTCTGATAGGTGCTCCAGTTGTTTCGAACGCTTTCTAGTTCGCGAGAAATCTGCGTCGAGGAAATGTCAAGGAAATTTTCGAAGCCACTCGAAAACTCTATTACTCCCTCGCCGTAGTAGGGAACTTCTTTGAACACCTTCAAAATACTTCTGTACACGTCAGTTCGATGGAGTAAATTGAAAATGATGCACTTGGCGCGGATCCATTCCGTTCTTGTATGCGCCATGCAGTGACCCCACTCGGAGTCATTGGGAAGGTGTTTTGTCCTAGTGACGACTTGCTTAAGCACACCAAAAGATATTTCCAGTATTAACTAATTAGGATAACTCTTGTGGTCATAGTGATGTCTGATCATTCCTTTATTCAAATCGCTTCCTTTCCAACCCGTTCTGATGAATGACAGCTTGCGGTTGCAGGATCTGATGATGCCAAGAAGGCTGCGAATCTGCCTGTTTTGAACTTTCTACCAAGATGCTGTTCCTCCACTAAGTTCTCGAAGCATGTGCATCATTCTAGAGTAGATACTCGCTGCCCTTTCCCTACGATTCTTTTGCAGGACGCGTTGCCTTCCTATGCCATACTGATCACTACGAACCAAACCAACAACCACTTGTAAGATGTTATTTGCATTAGGCTAAGTACAACACTTGTGAAACTAATGATGACAGCAAATAAGTGGCAGCAGCACCGTTGTGTCCGTTGATGAACCTTTTGATTACGACCCCCTCCCAACTCTCATCGGAGCAAATACGACCCCCTGTCGAGGATTTCCTCGACCGTTATTCACCCTGACTTCGGGTTGCCGGCCGTTCGGAAATCCCGAGTCTTTGGGGCGAAAAGCTCAAAGAGGTTGACTCCGAGTAGGTCCGGATCATCGAACTGCCCCTATTTCAGTACCTTCGACGGCAACAGAAGCGTATGGTAGCCTGTCTCTACCAGGTTTGCTGTACACACTAAGTGGGTCAGATCATTCTATAACGAGCCTGGAGACCTTTCCTGAACCTTCTTCGTAATTAGCGTTGCCGACATAAAGTAAGTTTCTCCGATTTTCCGGGCACCATGCCGCAAAACCAACCCACTTGCTAACATTAATATTCACACATTGTTGGCGGCAGCTCTCCGTGAGCGGAAAATTTGCAGCATCATGTTCTCGGCGACTGTTCTCTAATCGACGTAGCAATCCTTTGTTCTACGCATCCGAGCCAGTCGTGCCTTTGGGTGCGGTTTATCTGAGGATCCTACTTCTTCACACCACCAACAAAAGTGAGGGGCTGCAAATAAACTTGTCCTTGCGAAATTTAATCGGTCTTAATAGCCTGTGGTCAGTCAGATCACAAAATATCCTTTCGCCATAATTTCACTTCTTTTTGAGGCGATATTGAGGAACGGCCATGTGGGATGTAGCACTAAAAGAGCTCCGCCAACTACCGTGCATTGCCTTAAAGGAGGAATTCACGATTAGAATGAAGGTCGAAGAAAGGGAAACTGACCTAGTTGAGGGACCCACGGACCTCCTGAGGGTGCGAACTGACGCGCAATTCGCATGGAAAAATTTGACCTCGGCGACCTATCATGCCTCAAAGCTGGCGGGTCCGGCGATCTCCGCCCACCGATCATCTGATCACTCGCCGTAGTTCAATACGTGGCGAGTGATTAGATAGCTGAGAGAGCGTAGTGTTGAAGAGGGCACAGCGATGAGAGTCGCATCAATGCTCAAATCAACGGGCAAGGAAGGGGTCCCATTTCTCGGGTTCTGGGCCGTTTCTCATGGTTCTTCCTTCTTTCGTGTACCACTCACCATCCCTAACTTAATTTGAAATGGGTTGCTTTTTCAGCGTGAATTCGTCCTTTAAGCACTCTCTCCAATCGAATTCAGAATACACTTGTCAATGAGGGTGGCAGGCCGACCAGATTTGTGGTTTTTTCTCAAGTATCTGGAACTCGGCAACCAAATAATTGGCATATTGTGAAAGATAGTCTGGAGGTTCATCACAACACAACACATCATACATCACACACGTCGGTTGGTAGGCCTCCTACTGCGTCACTTCAATCGACGCATTTTGTGGCTTATAAAGGCAGGAGCAGTCGAACATACCTTCAGTGAAAGACGATTTTAAGCTTCAAACGCTGCGAAATGCTACGACAGAAATGCTGTGGAGAGAGCATTAACCACCGCTCACATGCGTTTTACAGTGAATGTTTCAAAACGATCTCAAGTGGACAAGAAATTACGCAAGAATTTTTCCGACAACCTAACAAATAGATTCCACGTTTGCTCTTCGTGAAATCTGGGTATGACGAATATAATGCTTGAGTTGTTGTTTTGCCGTACAGGTCCTTACGGAGGAATTCCTTCATTCGGTCGACTGATCAGTTTCGAGCTCGAGCTCAGGCTTAAGCAACGACATGACTATTTCCAGCGATTCACTGGTGGGGGATTCTCTCAGGGACAGTGTCCATAACTGCGAGTCAAGATCACTCGACCGAGTGTAAGGAATGCTCGATAGAATTGATTTGTGGGCAATTTACGTTAGGCAGTACCTGGTCCAAGAATGGCCCATAGTCATCGTACACTGACACATTCAACTCTGGAAAACTGTCAGCCGTCTTCCGCCACCTTGAAAACATAATAATGCTTTAATAATCACTCAAGAAAGTACAAGAAGATGTGCGAACCTCTCCAGAAGAGTTTTCCTGTATAAATTATTGCCCATTAGTTCTCCATGATAGGAAACCGTCACCCAGATCCGATTGAGTCTTCAAATGCACACTTATTCTGAGAGTTCTCGGTTCTGTTAAATTCCAACAAAAAAGCAGAGAGAGAGGAAACTACGAGGTTCCGGGATCGCATAGCATATGAAGTGAGATAGGACGTTAGGTGGAACAAATCTAATTGCTTTTTTTGGAAAATCTGACGACTTGACGAGTCTTGTGCACGCTTAGAGACATTAGCTTCACTTATGTAAACCCCCTTGAAACCCGCTTTTCAGTAAAGGTCGTGGTACACGATCCTTCGAAGACCCCATTGAGCTCGACCAGTGCACCATGTTTCCAGGGCAAATTTTTCTGATGCCGTCCACGTAGATGGCCACTATGAAGATTTTTTTATGGAATGGAATGTGTTCTGTAGTTCGTAGTTGGGAGCATTCAATGTGACTTTAGCGAAGTATAAACTCATTTGTGTGAGGAGAAAATGTCTTTTTTAGCCACTGTGAGACGGCCTGACGGTGGCGTGGTACAAGTGACGTTTAGCGCCCAATTTATCTGCTATGGTCACAGAAAAGATGACAGCACCAACAACGGATACTATGGTCCACTTTCAGTGCTGCGCCTTGCTGATCTGCACCTGATTAAGGAAATCAAACCTTCTCCCTCCAAAATATTTGGCGGTTTTCCTCTATTGTTCAAAGTCTACTAAGCACATCCACTTTTATTTGCGAGCGATTAACCACACTAGGTGAACGTGGAACGTTTCGGTGCAAAATCTAAAAACAAACCGTACGACTCCTGAGACACCTAACATGGGTACGTCTGGAGACCCACCCCGATTAATTTGTCACCGTGTTCATGCCCACCCTTTTCTGTGCTGATACTTCTCACATGATCTGAAGAGGAACTCATGCTTCGAACGATCTCGGTGAAGTTCGAAAAAGAGGAGTCTTCCCTCTATTAATGAATGGACTGAAAGTGATAAAGTTCACGGATCTATTAGAACTCCCCAGATCGCAATGCTTGACACTTTGGAAACCTGCAATCCATATGCTACAGGGCTGCAGTTTGCCGACCGCACAGGTTTTTGCCATTTCCAGCATCACATATTGAGCCTTTCTCTTCGCTCAGTAAATCCCCTGAAGCTTTGCTAAATAAGGCCGCAAAACGTAAAACACGTGCGGTCTTCAATGCAGGGTGAACAACGGTCGAGGGAAGGACGATGGCTCTGTACTGTGTGAGAGAGTGGCGTAAGAGGTTGATCAAACGAAAGTCTGAGAGTCGACGAAATCCTCGACATTCACTTTGCTGCAACTACTTAAAAGCACGCTTCGGGATTAGACGCGCTCACCTCTTCCATCCGGGGATACAGTGCGTACCAAAAGTATGTGGACACCCTGGAATCGATTCTCAGGGTCAGCTAAAGGCTTTTATGTCATGAAACCTCCACCATTCAACTCCTAGTGGTCGATAACCTACAATGACATTTTCGGCAAAAGATTTCGTTCTAACTTAGCGAACTATTTTTATGGAAAGTTTTGAAAAACGGCAATATCTTCAGAATCTGAAATCGGTAGGCCTACCAAAGTTTCTAGTAAGTTGAGCCATTCTGTTTGGCATGCTATGAACCGGGTCTGGATACATGTCTTGCAGATCTGTTCCCAACTAGCAAATTTCACCGACGTGTTAGGTCACTTGTGATATTACTCTTTTGTTCAATGACGTAGAGACCGCGAACCACGATACCTCTACGTTTTCAATAAGGATGAAGTCTGAGGAATACGCTAGCCGACTTGCCAATCAAAGCCGTTGCGTTTAGCATTTTTCCAAATGGAATGGTGTCAGGGACCTCCCCTGCAAAACAAGTGATTTGCGACCATGACTTTTCGAAAAAGGTTGTAGCCGGGACTCAAGCACCTCATTATAATCCTAGTTGTCTACCTGACATGTTGGCAAGCCAAACTCCAATGTCCCCCTCCTTTTGGAACCACCCCAGACCTTTGATGAACATCTTCCGAATTGTCTCTTCGAGCACATCTGCGGGTCCGACCAAAGTCTCTCCAAAAACCTCAAGACCCACCCGAATAGTAAGGAATAAGCTTCTTTCTGCCAGTCGAGTTGGTCTATGAAGAGAAATTTCCAGAAAGTCTTTTATACTAATTTTACCATTTCCACGAAAGCACTGTCTGTGTGGGTTCAAAGTATCATGTTGTGATCCTTTTTTGAGTGGGAATTCCAACCTTGCCAACCTGAACCCGCATTCATATACAAAGCCTTCTTCATCTTCTTTCGTGTCGTGTGCTCAATTGATTGAATGAGACACCGATTGGTCTTTTTTAGATCGGGAAGATCATTTATGCGTAAAGTTGAGTAGTACGAAAAGAATAATTTGAGAAAATTAAGGCTATTCTTCTGAACAAGTAGCGATTGAGAACAACCCTCAGTCAAGGTCGAGAGCTTAGCATCAGGATTTCGGATTTCTCTCCAAACCTACGAGGACGCATGACTGGTTGACGTGCTATTTCGCAATAGGAAGGTTCAGAAGCATGGGGATCCCATTTCTGTGCTCGGTCTTCTTCAGAAAAACGCTTGCCGTGAAGAGGAATGATGCCAGAATAAGTAACGAAAGGAGAAGTAAAAATAGGTTAGGAAATCGATGCAAAAACTTCATCTGCCTCAGGGTGTCCACATAATTTTGATACAAAGAAAAAACTTTCCATGAAAAATAGTTCGCTAAGTTAGAACGAAATCTTTTGCCGAGAATGTCATTGTAGGTTATCGACCACTAGGAGTTGAATGGTGAAGGTTTCATAACACAAAAAGCCTTTAGCTGACTCCTGAGAATCGATTCTAGGGTGTCCACATACTTTTGGTACGCACTGTAGTAGACAGGATGACAAACGTTGATGTTGCGCCCCTTTTGCGCTTGAAAGTGCGCGACAAAGGCGCAAGGAGCTCGTCCGACCCGCAACTCACACCTTCGTCCGCAAGCCCCACCCTCCGCTGTCGGTTGCCACGTGGCGCTGCTTGAAAAGCGCGGGCGCATTTGAGGCAGCGGTCCCATTGCGACCCAATGTCATTGGCACTGGAGCAACTAGAGTTAGGTTCGTGAAACTCGTCCAACGCGCCCCTTCTCTATCCAAGGTGGAATGCTGATAATGATGTATGTTTGATTGTATACAGAATTTTGGAATTTGAATCATTTCCTTTCCGTTTCATTTTCTCTCTTATGATACCTTTGACAATTGGTTGACTTAAGCAGCTAAAAACAGTCAAATATGCATGCATCACACAATCCACGGCGTAGAAGGGTCGTAATTAGTCAGTTCGAAGAGGGGCTGGAGAATAGGGCAAAAAGGTATTAGGCGAGAACTTAGAAAGTTCTGCTTCTCCTTCCCCCTCCCCCTCGATCGCTGAACAAATGCTCGAAACCGGATCCTGCTATATAAATATAAATATATATAGATACATATATTATATATAACAAAAGGATGGTCCCCCGTCCAACCTGCTGAAGTGATATGTGGACTATGCAGCGGCCCGTAAAGCCTACTCAGGGAAGGGCCTTTCTCAGCCTAGGCTTTACGTCGTCCGATGAGATCCTTCCACCTGTGACACCAACACCTTGTGGAGGAGTGTGTGTGCAACAAAAAGGGGTGACATAGTAGGAGGAAATCGCCGTAATCGTGACGTAACGGTAGAGTGACATATTCACTCTTACCACCCTGGTCTGTCGTTGATTGGTTTTTCGCCTCATCCCCTCCTTCCCCCTTCCCTCCACTGCCCTCCAGCTGCCACTGCAGCACCATGTGGAATGAACGGAAGTGTGCTAAGCAGGTGTTTATATAGCCCTAGAGAGTGTTATCACTATTATGTTATTACAAGACATTGGTCCTGCGAGCTACCCGAACCGTTGTTTATTCCATTAGCTGCCCTATCACTCACTCATTTTGCGGATGGACATACATACACACAAACCGACACACTAAGTCGGCGGTTTATGCAATAAGCAGGATACACAGGGAAGTCAATTAAAAGGAGATTTTGCAACTACATTCGAATCTATTCAATCACACGTTCAGTTTCAATTCAGACTGAATAGTCTCAACTTGAAGTTGAAGGGCGCGTTCCATCTCATAAAATAAACTGTAAGAGCTACAGGCTTGGCAATTGGTAGGTTCCTTGAGCTCGACGACGGTGACAGATGACGTCATATTCTGAAGACGGTGAGGGCAGTGAAGGAGGGCCTGCGTCTACTTATAGAGGGACATTAGGAATATTCTGCTGAGGAACTTCCGTCAACGACGATAATCTTTTATTCCGACGAAAAAGTCGCTGGAGTGCGACATGGGCGAAATGTCTTTTTTGGATGCCGCTGGTAATCCGCTAGGCGAAAAGGCTGTGAGTTCTGCAGGGTGTTCATAACTCCACTCTCACTAAGGCATGCATAGTTTCGTCCCTCGTACATGTCATTCATCAGCGAGATCATATGTTTCGGAATGCTCTTTTCCTAGCCCCCAGAGCGCTGTCGACAGTCGAACGCGTTTTCCAGGTCAAGGAAAGAGAGGGCAGGGCTGACGCTCCTCTCGATACTTCCCTATCACTTGCCTAACGATGAAGATGGCATCCTTGTGTACCTACCAGGCGTTCTATTCGAATGTTGATACTTGTTTTTCATACATTGGGCATCCTACTTACCTTGTTCGCGAAGCAGGTGAGCACCCTTATGCCGTATTCTTCAAGGACCGAATGATAATGAGGTTATTATGTGGAGATGGTAATAGCTTACAAGAATTAGTTTGCCAGTATGGGAAGAGAGTAACACGTTGCAGGAGATTGTAACATAGAGCCTTACATCGTCAGCACGTGCCAAGGATCAGTACCACTCAAGTGTCAAATGTCCATCAGGTGGAAGTTTACGTTTTTTCCTTTACCAGTGCTTAACAACCTCAATTGACCGCTGGACTTTGAGATTCCCAAAAAAGGTGTATGTTTTGAGAGGACG